ATTGTTGTCGAAGTGCATTTAGCACCTGTTTTGTTGGCGACGGTATTGGGACGTCGTTTGTGTGCATTTGATGAGTTATCTCAACTGGATCCGGAACTGTACAAAAGTCTCACTTACATAAAACATTATTCGGATAGTGGCGACGTGGCTGATCTATCGCTGACATTCTCGATCGATGAGGATCGATTGGGACAGGTGCATTCAGTTGATTTGGTACCTGGTGGACGCACAATTCAAGTGAATAATGAAAACAAGTTCGTCTCATCTGACCGTTCATAGTTACATTTTCATTTCTGTCAAATTTGGGTGAATTTGGAAATTCTTTTGTGTAACGATTCCATTAGAATGTCAGCGTATGTGCTGTAAAGGAGAGAATAGTTGGAGAATTTGATATCCTTTCGAATTATCTATAGTTGAATTTGTGAATGTGATTTTGAGTATGATTCAGTTGGACATTATCGCATTTTGTCATTATTCCATGTGAGTGGTTATTTCATTGTGTTTACTATGATCGCATAAAGTGGTGTGTAATTGATGTGTAATTATAGGATAGCGTATGTGCATAAAATGGCTCAGTACAGAGTATTCAATCAGACCAAAGAGCAATGTCGTGCATTTGTTTCTGGCTTTCTTTCGATTCTGAANGCATTATTATAGTTGCTTTAATCACCTTCGCTTCGAGTGTCATTGTTTCATCCAAAATTTTAAGTATCTCTACTGATCCGAATGAATTGAGTGTTGCGGTGAAATTGGTAATTCTGAAGTGATTAATCCAATCTTTTAGTGATATCGATCTGCGCGATCTTCGTAGGCATGTTCAGTACTATGGTGGCTTTCATAGTAATCATCGCTTGATCAAATGGTTATGGCAGATATTGGAGTGTGATTTTAGCGTTGAGGAACGTCATCTTTTTCTGAAGGTACCTTTCAATTTTTAAATTGAATGAAACGATGTTGCGATTATTGCTTCTTCGCATATCAGTACCATTCCTTCCATACAGGCAATGACATTCCACAACCAACGAAACCGCATGTCATGCTGAATCCTATGTCGAATATTCATTAAGTGATTTTAAGGGTATTTATGTTCTATGTAACTTCAAAATTTAATCTGAAAATAGGAAATTTACATTGATATAGTTATAGTTCGTAACGAGTTGTTCGCGTGCACCTCTACTTGGATTTGCATATCTTGAACCACCGTTTTCGATCCGTTGCGTTGAAGTTTCCGACGATCAGGTTTGGGCGTTCAATTCTAGATTTACTCGTTTATATATCGTTTAT